TCAATTCTATAGCCAACCAATTCGGGCGTACAACGCTACAACAAGCTCGTCGTTGGGAAACATTTGCCTGCCGACAAGCTTGCACACGCGAACAGCTCTACTTCCTTCATGAATGCCTGAGAAGGAACGTGCTGCCAGCAAGTACAAACCACAGACCGGCGCTAAACCATCCAGCCGCCTGGAAATTAGCACGACAATACGGGAGACGCATGGTCAGACTGATGATAACAGATGCCCACAACCGCCTACGCAAATATGAGAGAGTCATAACGGAAAACAGAACCAATTGCCTCAGTACTATTGACCCACAGCAACAAACAGCGCTGGAATCCGCAATTGAACGTCGAGTCAAAAGCACCAAGAACCGACGGAAGATTGCATTGAACACGAAGTTAGACAAACTGACTAAGAGGAATGACTGCATTAGCAGTGAAGGATGGATCAAAAACCTTTCACGCCGGCATCTCACTGCAAGTGAAGAGGATGTCTTGATTAAGGGGCTTAACTTCAACGTCAGAGATGCTTGCCCCAAAGACTACTTGGCTAGCTTAGAACACGCATTGAAATCAAATGGACTGTCGGACGAGTCCCAGCAACAGATACGGCAGACTGTTGTCCCAGTGCTTACTCGGAATAAAGTCACCCAGACCCTAGCCAAGGAGGAACAGGATGCGCTCAGACGTTTACAGAAAGACGAGAACATTGTAATCCTACCAGCGGATAAAGGGCGCATGACAGTTATAATGGACAAACCGGATTATATTCACAAGGCCAAAGAACTGCTATCAGACGCAACTACATATCGCCAGATCGATCAAGATCCAAGTTCAAAACTGGTCAACCAGATTAACGCAACGCTGAAGAAACTACAAACAAAGAAAGAGCTCACCGCCACAGAGAGATGGAGAATGAAAGCGGATGATACAAACATTGCACTGTTCTATGGATTACCAAAAGTACACAAAGATGGAGTCCCACTACGACCAATCGTCTCGCTCCCCGGAACCCCGTCATATAAACTAGCAAAGGATTTGTGGAAGAGGTTGAAACATTTGGTTGCCGGATCCGAACATAGCATCAACAATGCTGAACAATTCCTCAAAAAACTGCGAAGTGTCAGAATAGAAGACGACGAAATAATGCTTTCATTCGATGTCACCGCACTGTTCACTTCAATCAGTCATGATTTGGCCAAAGAAACCATGCTGGAACTACTTGAGAAGCAACTAAGCCCCACAACAACCATACGACCTGAAAGCTTTTGGGAACTCCTGAACCTCTGCATGACCACTTATTTCCGCTTTGATGGACAAGTATACCAGCAACTGAGAGGAACACCCATGGGATCACCAATTTCGGGGCTCATTGCAGAAGCCGTAATGCAGAAATTGGAGCGCATTGCACTGCCATCCATCAGCCCGAAACTCTGGATACGATACGTGGACGACACCTTTGTCATCGTAAAACGGAACAGAGTACAGGCCACTCATGCTTTGCTCAACAGCACATTCGAGGATATCAAATTTACACTTGAATTAGAGGAAGATAACAAGCTACCATTTTTGGATGTACTGGTCACTAGGAATACAGATGGATCTATGGAAACGTGCGTATATCGGAAGAAAACGCATACGGATCAGATATTAAACTACTACAGCAATCACCCGATGAATCACAAGAAGAGCTGCATTCAAACCTTGTTCAAGAGAGCGGAAACGCACTGCAGCACAGCCGAATCGCGGAAACAGGAAGAGCATCACCTATATCGAGTGTTTAGAAACAACGGTTATCCGAGAAGTTTCATCAGAAGAAGCTTAAAGAAACGAATGCCTCAGCAACAGCAGCAATCATCTGATCAACCAAACAAACGGATAGTGCTGCCCTACATCAAGAACGTCTCCGAACTAACAGGAAGATTGCTGCAATCACATGGAATCTCTGTGGCTCACAAGCCAAGTGCCACCCTAAGGAAATTGATCTCAAGACCCAAAGGAAAAGTCAATGAAGCCGACCAATGCAATGTCATCTACCAGCTAAAATGCAGTGACTGCGATAAAATCTACGTCGGACAAACTGGAAGAAAACTTTGTACACGAATCACCGAACACAAGGCGGCCGTCAGAAGGCACGATCCACACTCATTGGTTTCTGCGCATGAAGATCAAGAAGGTCACCATTTCGATCTGGAGAGTGTAAAGATCCTAGCACATGGAAGTACAAAACACGAGAGGGAATTTTTGGAAGCCTGGTACTCTACAACGCATGCAATCAATCGACACATCGAACTTGACGCAGTATACGCCACGCTACTGACGAAGGACCGACAACTCGATCGATTGAATCCGGTGGAACGTGTGACTAGACAACCCGAACTGGCGGCAGACTAGCTCGCATGAGCAAGCGGACAAAGGAGTTGAGGTCAAGGTCATCTGCCCATTAAGCAAGCTGAACACGGATCGAAGTCCCAACCAATAGGATTGCTCGGATCCGCGGCCAACCACGACGGTATAAAAACGCACGCACGCCACGCTCAGCGCACTCTCACCGAGGCTCCTCTACGCTACTCTACGCTATTGCACGCCACTCCACTACGCACTGATGATGTCACCTCGATTGGTGACGAAACGTTTGCAACAAAATTGCCAAGCTCAGCGAACAGTTCAACAGCCATATTGGCAAGCTACTTAGACGATCTTCGTATGACTTCCCTCGTTGACCTTCGATCATCCTGGTCGCAAGTTTCTGGATCTTTTCTGTACGCATGGCCTGAACACAGTACTCCAGATGTGGCCTAACTACTGCTTTATATAAGGGCAAGAATACTTCTGATTTAGTGTTACTCAGCGCCCTCCTAAGACGAAACAACTCTTGTCGCACTTTATTGGCAGCATGGCGACACTTTACCGAAGGCTTTAAACTATTTACTCTGATGACACCCAAATCACGGGCTTCATCAGTACACTGCAATGATAGAGATCCCGCAGGAGACTGCACTGCAATTCCGCTACCACTATTGGTCAATAGTTGACATTTATTGGCATTCAAAGGTAGATCCCATTGGCCAGACCAATTCATCACAGTGATGTTCTTAACCAATGTTGCTCGGTTTCCCCTACTGACTAGCTTTAAGTCCCGTGACCATTGCTAGTTTGCAGATCGGTCACCGCCTCCTTTAGACTTATGTGGTGTATGACTTTTACTTCATCTCCTTATTTAGTGGAATTAAGTCAGCATGTGCACATGCTTTATTCGGTTAATTTTGTTTGATATCCTCATTTCCAGTGATTGGCTGTTGCTTGACTTCTGATGTGGCTGTGCTTGTTGTGCATGTTGACAAGGTGCCTACTAGTCTATTATCCTCCACCGTCTATACTGGCTCCAGGAGACAGTTGGTCGACACTGGAGGGGACGACTTGCACGGTCCACTTGATCGTTCTAGGCTCGAAGACTGGAGCGGACTACGACTCATCCATCGCCTTGTGTGAGCTTGTTTCCAAAATACAGTGTGCTTGTGTTTGCCTGTGAAGGTGTGTGCCGTCTCCGTTGATGAAACGTGGCTCCCACCCGCATGCCTCCCGGTCTTATTCCTTCTGGTTTACACTGGATATGGAGTGTGTGGATGGAGGTGTGGGTGGTGCAGCGCAAGCCACCCATGGTCCCTCTGTAGGAGCGGATGTTCTGTGACTGTCCTATGGAAACCACAGTGACTGGCAAATCCGGACCCGGATGCCGCCAACCACATGTGAATACTTACTCGAGTTAATGTAGGTGCCATTGTCGTAACCGTTTGCGGATTAACTCATTATTGTGGATATTAAAAACCGTCAATTATATTCATTCATCTGCTAGGGCTTCTCCTCAAAAACAGCTATAGATGAATGTAATCAACCGGACACCTAGTGATCACTTGCGTCCAATCTGTTCTACCTGTCTTGGTTGTGTGACCCCCAATGTTTCTGTGCACTTCGAAACGCTTTCTGTTATCCCGATTCAAGGCATCTTATGACTCTTTCCTGTGTGATTCCTGATCAAACATAGACAGATGTCATTGGCTTCTCATGTGTCTCATTCCACCATTCCAAGTCATTGCTGCATTGCAGCTTCCCACCATCATTCTGTATCGATACGTTGTGAGCCATAATTCTCATTCTGACTCTTCTAACTTGTAGACATTCGCTCGGTAGTTTACCTGGTCGTCTGATCTATGCTGCAATATTAATGTTCAAATGACTGTAATTCGACCCGGCGACGACGGCCTGACTCAAAAGAACAAGCTTAGACGCGAGAGCCGATTGAGGCATCACCTAGTCGCAGTGACACTTGACTAGTCACTAGTCACTGATGGCTACTCAACAGTGAATAGATAGTTACATATTTTGATACAGATGCTTTTGCTATTAAGCTTGTTTTGCGGTTGATTGATGACCCAATCCTCGTACTAATATTTGCCCCCGTAAAGTGCCACTTTACCCCTTTGGGGGTAATAATCCCCAGGTTAAGAACCCCTGCTATAGCTCGTCTACAACATAACGCATTATAATTTCTACATCTGTCTATCGGCTTCGGTAATCTGGCTTTCGATAACTATGTTTTGATATCTCTACTGCTTTACATCGTTTCCGATTTTCCCCACGGATTCTATTTGTCATTCTCATTACGCCGTTGATGAAAGCTCTTGGGTCTACTTCCTTTTGGTTCTTAAGCTATCTTTGTTGGACAAACTGACAGGTGTTTTCCAAAATTCCCCTTTCCCTCGGATTCACTCCTATGCTCCCACGCTCGATGTTTTTCACTTCGTTCCCTTTTGACATTATCTTACTAATCTACTCTCCACTCTACCTTGGTCGCAAACTTCATTCAGGCTTTTAAACTTATTAAAGAACTGTTTTGCAATGCTTTACTCGTAAATCATAATTAACCACCCGCATTTAATTAAAAGAACTGAAAATTTCAGTACAGGGTTACAAATTTTGTTCATTCTATACCTTTTTTTCTTTTCAGCTACTCCTTAGCCTTCTGACCGATGCCAATGTTTCCTCCAGCTAGTTCATCACCATCCAGCAATGTGTCCATTTGTATGTACCCAGCTGTTGCTGCTCCGCAATATGTATCTGTCGACCGTGCGGAACCTCCTGAACTTCCTACTTCTCGTCTAATCCAGCATGGATCTATTGTTGTTCCCGGAGAAGTCATTTTTCCTCCTGGTTCTAATCTAATCACGGGCCATGGAACATACCGGGAAACTGACCAGACCACCCTATCCAACGTGCGCAAAATGGATGTCGATACCGACCCTCAGCGAGACGAAGACGGCGTTAAGACCGGTGCGATGCGCACTTCACTTACTGGACGTGTTCGGATTGTCAACAAGTTGGTCTATGTGGAACCTCCCAAAGCACGCTACGCTGGCAACATTGGTGACACAGTGGTGGGGCGCATTGTTGAGGTTTGTTGCGCATACTTTCAAGCCACCTTTAGTCTACATTCTACATCACTTTTAATGTATTAAATTACTTCATCCGTTTTCAAGCCTAGCGGGTCGATGCTGCAATGTAGATCAGAATCCGAGATCCTAGGGCCATTCGTTGGGGCGCATTGCTCGACACTGCTCTACTGTACTAAGGTATATCTTTCTGTATGCATCACAACAGTCAACAAAAATATATCAAATAATCTATGTATTCCGCACTTGCCTACGCACTTTCATTGATAATGAATAACTACCTACACGCAGCATTTAATGAAACAAAGCTCGATGATTTAGTTGGATGTTCCATCATCGCCTAATTCTAACGATCGCCGCACAATAGATAACTTCTTGGTTTAGCCAACGGACGCTAAATTATGTACGGTGACGAGATCGTAAATCCGACCTTGACCATAATGTGGCTTCTTAGTTAAGCCTCGCAACGGATATGGATGCGTCTAAGTGTAAAACAGATTGCCCTGTGTACTTGCTTCGTTTTTCGTGCATGCAGTACATGGTAGTTTCAGAGCTATAGCTTGTAACCTTCGCCACGACTGACTTTCCGAACTACCTCATGGTGGCCAGCGGCCGATAGGATAAGCCGCTTATCTTGCAATCCATATATTAGCGATTCTTATTTGTGTGGGTGCGGGCAATCTCGCCGTACATCCAACTCACGAGCCAGTGGTGATTATCGGGTGGCAGCGAAGCGTTGTTGCGACGAACTGATGTGCTACTGATGTCTTTCTCTTCGTGGTGCATTCTTGGTGGTTCGGAAGTATCCTGTTCTAGCGAATTGTTTGGTGTCAGTGTTCTGGGACATGGTTAGTTTTCGCCTAGCAAAGTCCTCTATAAGAAACCACACATCTGTTCAACAGCACTGCGATGTGACGCATGTGGCTTGTTACTCGACAAAGTCACTACCCTTTACTTCACTTCTGTGCAGCATTGTACCCCGGCGGATGTGTGCTGATAGCATTGCAGAATTGGACCCATGTCTGGTTACTTACCAAACGAAATGCGTGTGAAATGATTGACCAATCGCCGGCTCCGAATGAGCGTAATTCCCTGTATTTACTCTGCTGCTTTGCGGACGGACTTTATCCAGTTGCTCTGGGCGTGATCCCTCAAGTTAGCTCCCTGCTTTTGCTTGGGCAGTCTGTTAGTGTCACACTCTTTAGAGTAACCATGAACCGTTTATCTGCTTACCTACTTGCCCATTTGTTAATAACCACTGTTTTTCGTAAAACGTCAATTTCTGTTTACATGACTCTACCCCAACGCCCGTTAAGCTCGACTAGTTGCACTTTTTCGATCTCCATTCTTGTTCTTTCTGGCGTCCCTCAATGCGCGTACACTCATGTAGATCGAATAGCAAGTTCGCCTGGTATAGCAACAAGTAACAACTCCGAGACCAAATTACTTGACTAGTTCCCGATTAACAGCCGATTGTGTGTAGTTTTGGTTCAGGGCTCATGCAGGATTGTCAGAGTTCACGGAATAGACGCAGCTTGTCCTTAACCTCCGCGTTCTAACTGACTGCATCCGTGACTCGATCAAGGACGACTTTTATAGCTCTTGAGCATGGTTTTCAAATCCGAAATTGTTGACTTGCTGGTGATTTCAACACACAGGTCGGTCGTTTATTACCATGTAGACGTCAATTTGATGCTCATCATGCGCTTAATGAGTATCATAGATACGCAGACGGATTTCTCACACAAGTTTTCTTTTTGGCACCAAATGGAAACGTACGAGAAAACGTTCCGCAACTTTGTTCCACCTTCACCAATCCAAGTACATTCTCAGATTGGTCACTCCGCAACCTGTTCCAGATGTTAAGGTATCGTGGTGATTGTAGATCAGCCTGGCAGCAACAACAATCACGAAAACGACAGAACATAAGCCATCTGAACTGATGCTTCGCTGCCGTCCAGCCACAACGACTTTGGAAATGATAAATAATAAATGATGGAGTGTGGACCTAGTTGAACCTACATGCCCTAAACAGGCATTAAGGGTCAAGATGCCCACATCTTGTGAGCGACACACGGTCACAAACAGCAAACCATCATGCGGAGATAAAGCCAGATCTTCGAGACAGCTTCCTTGCAGCTTTCCCTGCCCCCCTCCTAATTACTCAAGCAAGCCATCATCAGTAGGCCGCTGTACAGTGCCGACGCTTCGCTGCCGCGCAATCACCACCAGTCGCACGTGGGCTGAAAATACTGCGAGGGTCGCCCTTTACTACACATGCCCGAACCCGCGCCGTCAGCTTACAAAGCAGGTTTGTTACCTTCACCTTCGGGCCGGCAATTACTCCTTAACTCGTAGGCAACTCAGCGTCAGACGTAATTTAAACAGATAATCCGACTAAAGGACGACGGCAAATTAGCCGCTGTTGTCGACTGTGAGCTGTCCTGTAAAGTCGAGTCAAGAACGATATAGGTCACGGGGACTCCAGTCTAAAAGGTGATACCGACCAACAGCACCCAGTTTGGTCTTCGGTGATTCTATTTCCCTCTCTCGGGTCAACTTTTGTTCACATCGATCCTTGTGCTAAATTCTAAAAAGCTCTCTTCAGCTTGCAGGGATCAGCCATACTTTACACGTACCCAAGCTAGCGCAACTTCGACATTATTTGGTGTTTTAAGGAACTAACCAGACTATCTCTGCCTAGTGCTATTCTGCATATAGCATTGGTGAGAACTCTGGTGCCATCCGACACCTGCAGTGCTTCGCAAACAACATTGATCAAAGAATTGAAGTCTCTTCAAATCTTCACCGAAAGGCTCAAGTCTCATTCCTGTAAAATAGTGCGGCTCTCATTGTGTACACACGGCATTTTATAACCAGACGTACCCCATTCTGACACCGCAGATGTCGCAGGCTTAATTAGGCGGTCCTAGCTTTCGCAATGCTTGGATTAACCTCAGCAGACATACCCATTGATGTTAACGCAGTTTCCATGATAAGAAAATTAGTCAACTACTTTTGGCTCTTTATCGTCAAGACTCAAAATGTTGTCAAGTGTCTGATGGTCCTGTAACAGCGCTTTGCACTTCGAAGGTGCGATGTGCATGCCAAATGATGCGACCCCTTCATGTTGCCCATTCCTGATTGACTAAGCCGCCTCACTGTTGTCAAATAGCAGGACAATTTCTTCCGCATAATCCCGCCAACCATTTTTCATTCAGACTTCATTTCAATGTCCACATAGTATATCTCGCAATGAAACTCTCCGTGGTGTAGCAATCGACTGAATTGAACGTGCTCTTGAATTTGAGGAGGAGCTATCTTCGATCTGTGCTACGTGTGATACTATTCTAACATCTACCACAGAAAGTGCATATTGTATATGCAATCCCGTCCCGGACGGTAACCTGCCTTCTCTACCCTCTTGGATTCCCGTTATACAGTAAATCTACCGACTAGAATTGGATTCATCAGCTTTGACACTATCGGTGCCAAGCTAATACACCTATGGTCAGCACAGTCGGTATAGCCGCCCTTCTTAAATTTTGCTACTGTCGATTCACTCCAGTTGGTTTGAGTAGTCTCTTCCTTCCATACCTGTTCGGAAAGGGCCAGTGTTTTGCGGAGCAACTCACCTTCATCCTTACATAGCTCTAGTGTAGGGGAATTCGAACCACCAACTCGAGGAAGATGAGAGCTGTGATCGCCTCTAGACTGACTAGGTGTGGCGTACCGTGCACTACCTAAGTAGGAAGAGGACCGATGACTGTGTGCAGCTAAGTTGCTCTCCGAAGTGCTCCACCCAATGCACAAGACGATGTTTGTTATTGTGAACTAGTACACCGATGTTGTCCTTGGTTGTCTCACTGACGCAATGTTTTAGAGTCAGGAGTGCACATCAACTGCAAAAGTCTGTGACAATTGCCCACTACTCTGGCCTCTTCCATTTCTTGAGCCCTTTCAGTCCACCACGCTTCCTTTCTAGCAGACATACTTCGTTTCAGCTGGCGCCTAATAGTCCGTTGTTTCCAGTTGTGCTTAGATGTAACCGGGGTTTTTCCAATGCATTCTGCAGCTGTTGCGATAACTACTTACAGTACTGCAATCAGACGCTCCAGCGTCGTTCATGGCCGCCATGATGTTATTCCGCTGAAACTCGGTATCCTTGAAGTAATTATGTGAAGGCTTGGTATGTAGGGTGTTCTGGTAATTTTGCTTGGCCGTGGACTGAGATTGCTTTCCAGTTGTCGGTCTAGGGCACCGTTTGATACGCTTACCGATAAAGTTAATGGAAACTTGGCACCGAACCAAGACACGGTCGTAGTCGACGCACGTATTCCAGAAAGAGCGGTAGTCCAGTATGGAGCCGCATGATCGGAAATTTCCGGTCTCTGAGTCCATCGGAGGACGTGAAGTGACAGATTGCCTTTCACTGTGTCCGCGACACTTGTTGGTCTCAGCAGCCTTCGGAACTGAAGGCCGCTGCTCTCCCAAGCAATACTCACAGGCTCTTCCAACCCATTCGGTCCACGGTCAAAGGAAGTCCGATGGGAGACTATTTGCGAAACGAATGCTTCGCGCATCGTTAATCTGCTCCAATGGCTGGACTACGTGTTGCGCGTGCCAGCCCACCTGCTTCCGCGACGTGCATTGCTTGCCTGCCGGAGGGGAGGCCTGTCACTGGAACCCGACGATAGCAGCCTTCGAAGCTAGCTCTCTCTCTCTCTCTGTCTGGAGCAGCCCAGAGAAGATTGGTTGTATGCCGCCTGTAGCCGATTGGCTAATCAATGGGAATAAGCCAGTGGCATCGTTTTACCTTGAGGTGAACCAATCAGAATGACCTACCTTGAAGCCCTCTAGTAAGCACACTGCTTGCTCAGCCAACAAGCGAGATTTTGTGCATCTGGTAGTTGCTAAAGTCAGGAACTATCAATTAGGTCTTTTCTCTCATGAACTATTTATTTCGATCTAATATTTTGGCTGTACATTCTGTCTTCCGAATG